CTGACAGCCAATTTGAAGAAGTAATGCTTCGCACAAGCCAATGTAGAGTACTTGGGCCATATTGTATCAAAAGAAGGGGTGACAACAGATCAATTCAAAATTGAGGCAATGCTAAAGTGACCAGTGCCAAAAAATCTGAAAGAGTTGAGGGGGTTCTTATGATTGACTTGTTACTACATAAGGTTTGTAAAGGGATACAACACCATAGCATGACCACTCACGGAGCAGTTGAAGAAGGACGGATTCCTATGGCGGGAGGCGGCCACATCAGCATTTAAGAGCTTGAAGAAGGCTATGACTACAATACCAGTCCTAGCTTTACCAGATTTCACTCAAATCTTTATAGTGGAGACAGATGCGTCTGGGTACGGGTTGGGTGCAGTGCTTATGCAAAGTCATAGGCCCATTGCCTATTTCAGCCAAGTGTTGATTGCTAGAGCCAGGCTGAAGTTAGTCTACGAGAGAGAGAGAGAGAGAGTTAATGGCCATCATTTGGCCATCTAGAAGTAGCAGCCCTACCTACTTGGGAGGCATTTCATTGTCATGATAGATCAGCGGAGCTTGAAATACCTACTGGAACAGCAGATGGTGACAGAGGAGCATTAGAGGTGGCTGTCCAAGTTGCTGGGGTATGATTTTGAGATTTAGCATAGGCTAGGAGTGGAGAATAAGGTGGCAGACGCCTTGTCCATATGTATGGGGGAGCTGCAGATAGTGACATTATCTTTTCCTTTGATGTTTGATTGGGAGGCCATCAGAGAGGTAAGTGCTAGAGATGAGGATATGGGGAAGATCAGGGCAGATTTACTAAGGAAAGAGGGTAGCCATCTAGAGTACTCATTGGAGGTGGGCAGACTGCTATACCAGTGGAGGTTTGTGATGCCCCGGACTTCGATCCACATCCCAAATTTACTCCAGGAGTTTCATGGAAGCACTGTTGGGGGCTATTCGGGAGTGCAAAAGACATACATGAGGCTAGCTTCGGAGCTTTATTGGAAAGGAATGCATAAAGATGTAGAGGAGATGGTGGCCAGATGTGAGGTATGTCAAAAGAACAAATACCTGGCTATGTCACCAGGAGGAAAACTACAGCTGTTGGCTCTACCGGGACGAGTATGAGAGGAGATATCCATGGAATTTATAGATGGGTTGCCCCATTCAGAAGGTTCCACGACGATCTTAGTGGTGGTGGACATAATGAGCAAGTATGCTCACTTCATCCCCCTCCGACACTCTTACACCGCGGTGATAGTGACTGCAATTTTCATCGGAGAGGTGGTCAGATTGCATGGGATACCAGAGGCGATAGTATCAAATAGAGATAAGGTGTTCCTCAGCCACTTTTGGAGGGATTTGTTCAGATTACAGGGGACAGTTCTGAAGAGGAGCACAACTTACCACCCACAGACGGATGACCAAATGGAAGTAGTCAACAGAAGCTTGGAGACTTACCTGAGATGCTTTGTGTCAGAGACACCTAAGCTATGGGCCAAGTGGCTATCATGGGCTGAATACTGGTATAACACATTTTTTCATTTTGCTTCTCATATGACCCCTTTTAAGGTATTGTACGGACGAGATCCTCCCCACTTGGTGCACTTTGGGAGTAGATGGTGCACTTTGGGAGTAGCAGTACTCTAGTTTCTTCAATAGAGGAGTACTTGGAGGAGAGGGATCGAGTACTAGAGGAGTTGAAGAGACATTTGCTAAGGTCCCAACAAATTATGAAGAAACAAGCTGATGGGCATAGAAAGGACATCCAGTTTGAAGTTGGGGAGAGGGTGTTCTTGAAGCTCCGACAATTTAGACAGAAGACAGTCGCCAACAGGATGAATGAAAAGCTTGCTCCAAGGTACTTTGGACCTCATGAAGTGATGAAGAAGGTCGGAGCAGTAGCGTATCGGCTGAAATTACCACCAACGGTGACTATACATCCGGTTTTTCACGTATCTCAACTGAGAAGGGCCATTGGTGATTATACAGCCAGCTCCGAGTTACCGGTGACATTTATTGAGGCTTTAGATTTTAGAGGTGGTTCTGGAACCCTTAGAGCTGACGGGGGTTTACCAAAAAGAAGATGGAACTAAGGATGTGTAGATCAAGTGGAAGAACCTTCCTAACTACGAGGCCACGTGGGAACCATTCGAGAGGGTGAAACATCAATTTCTTGATTTTCACCTTGAGGACAGGTGATTCTTTGGGAGGGCGGTTTTGTTAGGCCGATTCACCCTGAACCGGCCCAAGGGCCAGCTCAGTCTGTTTACAGGAGGCGAAAACCGTCCGCCTCCCTTGGGTTTGTCCGCCCATAGTGAGTGACCCACTTGTCCAATTAAATTGAAATTGAAAAGGAGGGGGCGGCTAGGGCTTGGGAGGGAAATTAGATTAGGAAAGCTTTTGTATTAAAGAGCATGAGAGGAGTAGGAAGGGATTATGTTTTGATTGATTCTCAATTAGGATTTCTTGGCGGCTTGGACTCTAAACTCTCTTGTCTAGAGATTTGGGAGAGACGATCATCCTCTCGAATTGAGGATCTCTTGTATTTTTTCTTTGTTTTTGTTTCGTTTTGCTTTCTATAAGATTAGCTATCGTTTGATTGTTCTTCCACCATATTTCTTCGTTTTTCTCTTGTTTTACAGATTATTGTTAGGTTTGCTTGCGAACTCAAGTATTTCCCATTAGGGTTACTTGCGAACTCAAGTATTTCCTATCAAAGTCCCAAGAAGAAGCATTGGTATATTTTCTTTAAGGATTTTGAAGATATTAAGAAGTTATAGGAAAATGACTAGTTTATCAGAAGCACATACATTTACTAATTGAATTTACCATGATGCTGAGTATGTTGAAATTTACCGAAAGTCTACTTCAGGATGTTATATTTGTTATAAAGTACTGTTGTTGCTAAATCTTACGTCGAAGTTGAATATGGGCCTATGACACATCCAACCAGTAAAATGATGTGGACTAAAAATCTTATAAAAGTGTTGACTTCTCAGATATTCAATATGTGGTTCTTAAGTGTTCTAAGTGCAATAATCATACAATCATCCGTATTGCTATCCAATTTTTCATGAAAGAGCAAAATATATTGATGTAGATTGTCATTTCATAAGAGATGCAGTTCTGTTAAAAAGGATCATCATTCTTCATTTCTTTGGTGAGAATAGCTACATATATTATCATTTTGATTATCCTACATTTGCAATGAGTTGGATTCTTATGATATATATGCTCTAGCATAACAAAAGTGTTATCATAGAGAATTGCTAAATTGGAAAGTTAATAATTAATAAATAAAGTTAATAATTAGTAAATATTCAGTCTTTATCATGTCATATGCTGTCTTTATTAATAATATTCTCACTTTTTTTTTCATATTCAATCATTTGTTTTTTCCTATAGATAGGCATAAATACTACTGTGAAATCGATGAAGTTTATTTCTATTGCTTCAATAAAGAGAATAGCATGAAGACTTAAATTTGTAAGGTTATAATTGAACCAATTATGATGTTGGGATGGGGGAGTTGAGCAACACAATTGTGATTGCATTAAATCGAGCATGAATGTGAGATGTTTAAGATCGGTTTGCATTAAATCAATAACGATAATAGGATTGGTTTGTTTGGTTAGTTCAGACTCTGATGTTGTTTTTGCATTTATTGACAATGTTTGCTTGGCTATTGTGGAGAAAGAAATCACTTGAATGTTTAGAAAAGCTACTCGTTGATGATAAATCCAAGGGACAGTGTTACAATGCTACAACAATTATTATATCAACGGCATGCCACCAAGCCAACTCTACCTAGACTGAAAAATGATTAGTTATTGACTTGAAATATCACCTATTGATGATAAGATAGCTACAATAAATCTCGAGTGATTTTAACATGTACAATGGTGCACTTATAAGACATTGTAGATAGAATTAGCTTGAAAGAAATATGAAGAAAATAGTTTGACCGTAGTTAATATAGATAGAAGTTCACTCGTGTAAATCAATGTTAAAAGTGCATGTAACACTCAATAAGAATGATTGGAAAAGGAAGACTCAAAAGCTGGCCCGAATAGTTTCGAGTAGGCTAATTATGATGATGAGGTCTTCTATATAAGGAATTCCTTAACATCTTTGAATTAATTGAAGCTTGCGGATATGGGGAAGGTTCCTTAACCTTCACTCCTTGATCATCTGTTACCCATTGCTTAAATAGTTGCTATTGGATATTCAATTCTGATTTAATAAAGAGTTCAAACTATCAATGAATCTTTGATAGTCTCGTTGTATCAGACCATGCTAATGTATTCAACCATCACTAAGGGAGGTTTTCTCACTCTTCTTCCCAAGAAAACTATTTTGATAATTTCTCATATAGCTACAAAAAAGACATTCTAATGGCAAATCTTCAAGTAAAGGAACGCATTAAATCTTGAAAACACTACATTCACTGTTATGAGGATATGAACAGCACTTGTCTCATTGATTAAATAGCATATTCTAGCTTTGTATACATAGGCAATAGAGAAGTCTAACTGTTGATGCATGTATGATAGCTTGGTGCATCTATCCATGCCAGTATTTTCAATCATTAGCAAGGTAGGCTTCTAAATTCTACTCTGAAGCATCTCTGAGAGCCTGTTGTGCTTATGGCCTGCAGTCGTAAAAAGAATTGCGTTATGTTCTGTCTTTAAAACCATGCCTGGAGTTTAGTTTCTTTAAAGATGGTAATATTGAGTTTTAAGGTTCATCTGGTGGATTATACCCCACCCTTGCACTTTGATAAGCACTTGTACTCTTCTGTTTTTTCAATTAAATGAAGATTAGATTCTACAGTGGAAGCCGCTTTCATGTATGTTATGGGCATGCGTTTATAGCATGGTATCATAGGCGCTGCCATGCATCATGTCTGGGACTTGTATGATAAATTTGTAAGGTTATAAATTCGCTTTCCTTCTTATGTTTGAGTTATTGATTACCTTAACGGATAGTAATTATTTAATATGCAGGTCCTAAACATGAAAAAGAAACATCTGTGTCTTGGGAGTTTATCAAAAGCATATCAACAGGTACGTGATAAGAAATCAGCAATGTTAAAGAACATATGTTTTATATTAATTCTCATTGAAATAAGTTTGTTTTTTATTCTTACAGCTAATATGTCAAGACCCAGAGTCTTGCTGACACACATTCCTCTGTATCGTCCTAATGACTCCCCTTGTGGTTCATACCGTTCTTCAGGTGTCATCAATCAGGTCTCTATACCTTCATGCCTCTCCTTCCATTTTTATGTTTGACATTGCTTTCCTAACTAAAATAATGCAATATTTTCCTTATGTAGATGGCCTCATTTCATCTATCATTTTTTTGTTCAAGAAAAATTCCTGCTCGTTTAAATATTTATATAATTGCCTTTTTCTTACGTACAAAAAGTTAGGTTGGCTAGATCTAGTAATATTTACAATAGTATCTACAGTGCACTTTGTTCTCCTTCACTTTTCCTCTACAATTTTTGCTCTGCTTTCCAATGATTTTTGTCATACATGTATCAATTTAGTGTTACTATTTTCCTTGCTTTTATGTGCAGAGAGTTTCCTTTGTTGGCCATGATCAAGGAATAAAGTAAGTTCCATGCCCATAGTTTTTACAGATTCAATGTTATTTTCAGCTTAATTAAATAGGTCATTCCTGTCATTTAATGTCTGACCAGTTTTTAATGTACCTGCAAGAATAGGTAGTATATTTTTTTCGGCCAATTTATAAAAAGGAGCAGATTTTAAGTTTAAATTAGCTTAAGGAGCGAAATAGGAAAAAAATATAAAAAGGAGCAAATACGGATTTTAATCATCTGGTTTCTTTTGAAACCGGAACTGCATTATCCGGTTTCTAATTTCTATTGAAACCGGAATTCCATTCCACGGTTTCTAAAAAAAAATTTCAAAGAATTTTTTTTAGAAACTGGTTTTATGTTAACCGGTTTCTTAATAAAAAATTTTTCCCTTAATTCCATTCCAGGTTTCAATACTAATACTAAATATTTATATTTATCTATTTAATATTTAAATCATTAGAATATTTTAAAATAATTATTTATATTTATTTATCAAAAATAAATACATGTTTATATTTATTTTTTTATTAAAATATCCGGTTTCAACATTTAATTTTTTAATTTTTAAATTAAAATGAAATGTTTATTAAAATGTTTATAATTGATATATCATCAAAAAATTAAATCGGAGACCATCTGAACTTCGATTTCAGTAAATTTATAGTCGAACTAAACGTCTCCAAAATACAAACAACGACACCCCCCCCCCGAAAATTTAGGCTGGTTCCGCCTCTACTTGTACTGAAAGAATTCTATTAGACAGTTATATAAACATTTTATGATACAGAAAATATATACAAATATTTCATACATAGTGCTGTATGAGACCCCAAAGTAACCTGAAACATGACCTACTAGTGGTTTATTGAGGAATTATCATGAATTGGGAGGAATATCCACGTTGGGCTTGAACTACCACCGAAGGTATCTGCTGGGTTATCCTTTGCTAATACTGAAGGAAAACTAGTTAATTTCAATTTTCCATAAAGTTGCTTGGCTTTACATGTTTATTAACACATTAAATTATTATTCCAATTTCCAAATATTTAATGAAGCTTATGGTGTTAGAGCTTGATGAACAAGCAATCTCTTTGATCCTTCACTCATTAAAATCATGCAGATACCAGAATTACCTGACAAAAGATACTTCTGATCGTTTGCTGGACTTGATCAAACCTGTAAGATTCTGTTTTTTTAATTTTATATTGAACTTTTTAATGTCCCTCTTCAGAAAGCAACTTTCTACCTAAGTTAAATGCTTTCATCACAGTCACTTGTATTGTCCGGACATGATCATGATCAATGTACAGTGACCCACTCAACACAGTTTGGATCTGTGGTAGAGGTGAGAATTAAAATATATTCTTGTTCAAGTTCTTGCGTTGAAATTAATAAGTAGTGCAGCATACCCTAGGTACCGTAAGCTGGCAACAGGGAAACCTTTATCCGTCATTTATGCTACTCACAGCAACTCCCTCAAATGCAACTAGCTCAAACAGTGCTGTTTCAACTAGCCTTTGTTTCCTTCCTATGCAAACACACATCTACATCTGGTAGTTCTTTGGAAACATTGAAACTTCATTCGGGGCGTCTTTTTTATTGCTTCTTAAAGCAGCTTTCTAGTTCAAAAACTAAAATTTTTGTACTAAAAAGCTGCTGTATGAAGCAGTAAGAAGGCTGTCCCAAACGAAGCCTGAATCTATGCTTTCTGTGCTTATTTTTTCTTTTGTTATTTAGACATTGATATGTGAGGGCATTTGGGAGAGCATTTCCAGGTACTTGTGCCAGTTTGTTGTTACTCTTTTACTTCTTTTCGTATGGCCAACAAACGGGTTTGCCATCTTTGGCCAATTGACGAGCTTCGTTAGTTCTGTAAGAAGGAAATGGGCGAATATGAAAGAAAAGGTCGATGAGGAAGATTGCGAATATGACATGATCTGGGATTCAGAAGGATCGATGCATCTAATAAAGAAACACAAAACTGTCCCAGCAGCATACTCCAATGTTGGAGTAACAGGAAGGTATGTGAGATGGCTACTCTTTTAAATTCTTCAGTAGTTACTTTGTTTTGTTTCTTTTATAAATTCTTATTTATATGTAAGATTTGAAGAAAATGTTCGAAAGAATCTCTAGATTTTTTAAACATGTTCATTTTAATTCTAGACTTTCCTCGGCATTCAATTTGGTCCCCCAACTCATTAAATTTAAAATGATTTGATTTTGCTGTCAATTTTTTCATTTCTTATGAGGACATTCTAGGCTTTTAAGAGTCAACCTCATTAGTTTGAACTAATATCATGCAGTAAGACTGGTATTATAAAATCTGAAATATTCTCTTGAAAAGCTTCCCTCCAACCAAAATTTATCCAAATAATAGCACAGTTGGTTTCACGACCAACCTAGTTAAAATTTGATGAATTTAGGGATTTAAATTCTTAGAAATATCTGGTGACTAAAATGAAAAGCCTTACATGTTATTTTAGACATTTAGGTTTCGTTTGGGACGGCTTTCTTACTGTTTCTTAAAGCAGCTTTCTAGTAAAAAAAAATTATAGAAAGTTGTTTTAAGAAGCAATAAGAAAGTCATTCCAAACGAATTCTTAAGCTTCGTTTGGGACAGCTTTCTTTCTGCTTCTTAAAGTAGCTTTCAAGTACATTAAATTTTAATTTTGTACTAGAAAATCGCTTTAAGAAGAAGAAAGAAAGCCATCCCGAATGGCAATTGTATGAATTGCTTTAGTGATTGGAATTCCAACTGCTGCAGGGGTAATGCCGTGTTAAGGTCTTCTGCCAAGAAGCAGTCAACACAAGAGCATGAAACATCTATTTCCATGGAGATGAACACTGATATGAACTCGGAGAAAACCGGAAAAACTCGACAAAATAGATCAATGATGATCAGGTTTGCTCTACGGCTGATTCGGGTGTTACGGTTGACGATAATTATAGCTGCAGTTAATGTCCCTCTTTACATGATGCTGTTGTTCAAGGACTGGATTGACCGTTGATTAAAGATCGTAGATCCTTAATCAAAATGAAATCGTTCGTTTTGATGTTTGAGAATTTATATATATTCTTCACATGTAATGTATGGGAGTTGAGATCTAAGTGAGGTTTTTAAGATTGTTGTAGAACAAATTTTGGTAATGGATTTTATAACTTTGTTTAAAAGAATACAATGAGAAAATGTTCTGTGCGGAGTGCGGACGGGAAGAATGATCGGAATTATTGAGTATTTATAAATACTCAGTAAATAATCCATAAATACATAGTAAATCAGCAAATATATAGTAAATTCTCACAAAAATACTTAACGAATATTCACAAAATACTCAGCAAATATTTACAAAATATTCAGTAATATTAATAATTGAGTATTTTGCTGAGTATTTATTAAGTATTTATAAATATGTAGTAAATTCGGACGGTTTTTTCCGCCCAGACTTCACAAGCAATAATTTCTCCCAATCATTTACATGGGGGGTTGGACATTTAGATTTTATTTAGGCTTTGATCGAGATAATGTTTACTATTTTTCAAAGTAAATTTTTAATAAATTTTGTTAAGAAAATAAAAATGAGTGGCGATAAATTATGGCGAATGAAACTTTAGACATACTAAATGTCTGCATCAACTTTTGAATGATGCTATGAGCAACTTTTGTTAATATGCTCATCATATGGCTCTCATGGAAAGGAATAATTTTTTTATAATAATATGATGATATATATTATTTTAGAATATGTTTATTTTTTTTAAGATAAATATTATTAATGAAGATTTTAAATATAATAAAATTTTAATTAAATTAAATAATTTTTAAATTTTATTTTGTACAATATAATTTTTATTCTCGTGAAAATATTGCAAGAGCACAATTGATATCAATTTATTATCCAGCCAAGGCAATGTTGCTATCTAGGAACAATTATTACGTCCTCTGATCGGACGTAGAGCTACGTTCGGCCGCCAATAACATGTCGCCACGTGCTCTTACTCTTTACCGCGCGGCCCGATAACTTGACCCGGACCGGAACCCAGGAATGCTATGTTCGCGATTTTCTCGGTATTGCTCGGTATTTGCTCAGTGTTGCTAGGGATTGCTTTGCAAAAACGAGAAATACCGCTATGTAAAGATCAATACCATTCAAATACCGAGTTTTTCTACAACTCGGTACAATTCGGTACAACTCAGTATTTGCTTGGGATTTATCGGTATTGTAAGGGATTTGCTCGGTATTGCTAGGTATTTGCTCGGTATTGCTAGAAAAAACCCGGTACAACTCGGTAAAATTCGGTATTTACTCGGTATTGCTAGGTATTTGCTCGGTATTGGTTATTGCCGAGCAAAATTGACCAATACCTAGCAATAATGAGCAATACCGAGCAATCTTGGGTCCGTTCCGGGTCGGGTTGTCGGAACGTGCGGTAAATAATTAAAATTCGTGACGCGATCCTACTGGCGGTCGAATGTACCGGACCAAATAAAAGTTCGCTATCTAGAGTCGTAGAACCTAATAGAGTATTAACTGCTTTATCTTCATCTTATTACTATCGATAGAAAACACGTTAGTTTCTCTCAAAGGCGATGGCCTAATTTTGTATATTTATCAATTAAAAGTTAATTTAAAACATCTAAATATTAATCACAGCCAAATATATATAGGTAAAATATTTTTGTTTGTATAAAGTTCTGCTGTTGTTTTCTTCTAGTTTTTTTTTTTTTTTACTCTCCATCTTCTCTTTTGGGAGAACAAACTAGCTGAGCGAGAGGGATAGCAAGCGAGATTGGGGAAGAGGGGGAGTACAGAGGCCAAGATGGAGACTCCACCGGTGTTCCAGGAGGCGCCGAGGTGCGACGTTTGCAAGTGTAGCTTCACAACTTTCAGGCGAAGGGTAATCACCTTACTTTTTCTTGAATCTTGGATTGAATCTATTGACTTTGTTTTCTTCATTCCTTAATCGTAATAACACGGTTATAGTGGTTTCGTCTTTGTTGTCGGAGATGGATCCCAAGCGTTGCTTTACTTTATCGTCACAATATCTGGCGGGAGCTGCGACTTGAGAAATTGAGATGATATCTGATTTATTGTAATTTTGTTTAGGGCTTAATTGGTGGTGGCTCTGGCTGATCTTGCGGTTCATTTGATGGTTATTAGTGGGTGATGGATCCCAACTATGTGGGGAGCTGCGACTTGAGAAATTGAGATGGATCCCAACTATGTGGATCTAATTGTTCGGAAATCAAGAAGAATAATTGCTACGTTGTTAGTGGATAGAATGAGAATGGTAAGATGATTGTATGTTGAAACTAGGAAGAATGGATTAAGACTGATTTTTTAAAGGGATGGTGGGAATAACAATTATTGAATGTAAAAAAGCGGATAATAGATTAGATAGTTCATGTATAAAATGTATACTAGAAGATACACCTGTAAGACAAGTAAAAGTTCATGTGGAAAGATGAGGAAGAAAATAGGTGGATTACCCAAGTGAAGAATTATTTGCTCTAAATAGAGTTAACATCACATTCAACACTTAATAAGAATAAGCGAGGATTCCTTAAGTTGGTCATAAATACATGAGTGTCGGCTAGTTCAGATGGTAAATATTTTGAAATTTTTGCCAAGGTCTTATAGTTGAATTCTGTCTATGCAAATTTTTTGCTTTGGTACTAAACTTCAATTGATGATGAATGATGCTATTGCACATTTTTACAATTCATTACTTCCATTCTCAAGGGGAGGATTGACTGAGTTCCTTAAACCTAGGAGGGTAAAGCGTTGATCCTTCTACAGCTGTGCAAGGGGCAAATGATCACTAAACTATGGGCACTTGCAAGGCGCATAGGAGTGCCGAAGTAGGCTCAGCATAGAAATCCATTCAATTTAGTACCATTTGAATCATTTTAGGAAGGAGGGAAGGAGTTGTACTCCTCCCTTAGGCTTCCAAAAAGTAAAGGAGTTTCTTTTTTAAGGTTTTGTTTTCATATTTACTAGATTTTCTTGTTGCTATTCACATGCTCAATTTTCCTTTATATTTGCAACTATTTTATTTTCCTTCTATCTGTACAGCACCACTGTCGATGCTGTGGTAGGACTTTGTGCAGCGAACATTCATCAAATCAAATGGTATGTTTTTTCTTGCTCGGGAAATGTTTTTTGTGCCATGAATTTAGTTATATTCCTGTGTTTCTTTGGTCTTTATTCGCAATGTTCATCATAAACTATATGTATCTTGTCAGGCTCTACCTCAGTTTGGCATCTATTCAAATGTCAGAGTCTGTGAAGATTGTTTCAATAATCCTTCTCGGTAATCTTTGCTGTTCTGTTTATCCAAGAAGACATTTGTAGTTTTTTTTAATTGTTATTTCATTTATATTATTTCTGTTTTTTCATATATATAATTTCAAGGCTTCTTTTTAAAGGTAGAAAAATAGCAGAGGTAGTAAGGGAGGGTGAAGCAGCTGTTTAGTAAAAATTGAAATTCATATTATGCTTGAAGCGGTTGTCTGTGTTGATTCTCTTACCCTGTTAAATCTAAATCTTAATGCACAACTATTTTGATTGACACGAATCTTGTGATCTAATGTGTAATTACAAATGATCAATAGTTTAAAGGTGCTCTAGCTTCAATGTGCCTTTAGATCATATTTGATTAGGCTCATAAGTATGACATCAATAACGATTAAGTCACAATGCTTTCTTTTTTACTTGTCATTGCAGCTTGCTGAAGAAATAGTGCTCTGTTAAATAACTCAATTTACCTCTCAAAGGCATTGCTTTTATTGATCATAATTTAAGTATGAAATGCCTAAAAATGCCTTGCATTGTAGGGGCTTCATATCAGTATGTTGTTGTTGGCACATTGGTTAGATTCTTATCATTAGCAGAATATGCATTGTGGGTATAGCAATGTTTAAAATTGCGTATTCGGGTATTGAGGCGTTTTTCATTCGTGAGGCGAGGCGTTGCCTCAAGGAGTTTTGAGGCGTAAGCCTCAAAATCAAAAGATTGCGTAAACATAAAATGATAAATTTTTTATATACTAATGAGTGAATAATATAAAACATAAAAAAGCATAAGATATGAAGTGAGATCAAAATATCTCAATAATAAGACAACATGAAATATAGTTCAACTCAAAATTCTATCTTTCCCAAATCCCAATATTCTTTTCATTAACATATAATTCCAATTTCCAAAAATAAATAGTAATGACATATCACATAAGAACTCATAAGTGATCAGCAGTGTCATCACTAAGGGGTTCTTTATTTGAATCATCATTATGGTGAACTGCTCTCTCCCTTTCTTCCTCTCCTATAGAGTCCAATGTCGGGCATTTACTTCAAGATTTATGTAAGTTTTAATATATATAGCGTGAGGCGTAAGCCTCATGCCAGTGAGGCTAAGCGGGCCTCAAGGCGGGCCTCAACCAAGTTGAGGCGCAAGCCTCATAAAAAAAACTCAAGGCGTAAGCATCGAGGCGTTTTTTACTCGAATTGAGCAAAGGCGGGCCTCAAGGCGAGCCTCATATTGCGCAATTTTAAACCATGGGGTATAGTGTTCCACTGATTTGGATTGTCTTACGGTATGATGCACAGACACAGACACGACGACACAAACACGACGCGGACACAAGATACGTTAATTATTGAAAATATTGAACACGGTTGAACACTATATTACAATTTTTATATTTTAAAAATAGTGTATAGAAATGAATAAATATGATATTAAAAATAATTTAGAAATAATAAGTCATTTAACTAGAATTTATGCTTAAAATGATTAATATTAAGATGTCGAGAGTCGGACATTGATGTCGTGTATCAGGCATTGAGAGAGGAGATGACAATGTTGTCGAGAACCAGGTATCGATGTTATGCAGTAAGTATCGGGAGTTGATGTTGAGAGGGCGCCTGTCGTCGATGTTAAGATGATGTTGGACAAATATGAGCTGTCAAATTGTGGGAGTAGAAATTGCTAATATTGAGTATCAATGTCAAGATATTGTCAGACTTTGATGTTGAGATGATTTTGAAATGTCGATATTGTAATGGTGTTAGACGTCATTGTTGAGATGATATCGGGTGTTATTGTGAAAACAAAGTCGCTACCCATCAAAGAGAAATGAAAATGAGAATATTTGATGAATGTGGTATTGAGTGCGGGCGAATGATTTGGTGTTGTGGAGAGGAAATAAGAAATATATATATATATATATATATATATATATATATTTGTTTTTAATAAATAAAAAAATTAATAACAAGAAATTATGTTTTAAAAAATTTCATAGAATATTTAAGACGCGTGTTGGACACACGTGTCCAATTTGTATTTTTTTTTTTTTTAATTTTACATGTTTTCGTCTTGTCCGACACATGCCTGAGGTGTGTTGGACGCGTGTCGTATCGGATATGTATCGGATACTACACACCTCTTTGAAGAGAATTGTTGGTGTATCATAGGTTTTACGTAGTTAGTGACATGACCTATTCAGTGGAAGATGCAAGCAACATTTGCACGTCTTTTACTATTTGGAAACTGACACTACTATCATGTCAAGAGTGAATTGCTAGCACGTCTTCCCCATATTTGTTATCTGCATTTGACACAGTAATTATAAGACCAATAAAATGATTGATTTATGATGAGATATCATACTTTTGTAAACTTTTTTTTTTTTTTACTGTTAGTAATTCAAACTTGTGTTATCATGTTCTTGTCTTGAGACTTTCTCCTGCACTTCTTTCGACCCGACTCTTTCTTTCTAGGCATTCATGCTTTAGATTGGTCTGTTTATGCCATTCATGGCAACTTTTATTTATTTATTTTGAGTTTTCTATTATTCCATGTCCACAATGACATCTTACATTGTATATATAACAAAAATTCTAATTTCCATTAAAATATATGCAGTTATGTTCACGAGGACATCTTTTAAATTGTTTTTATGCTATATCACCCACGATACACAGAGTACTGAATATGAATTTATTTGTTATTCACTGACTACCTTAACAAGAAGCATTTTTCTTCTTTTCTATGTCCTTCATATTTATATGCTCTTCTTTTATGCTTAATATGTGTTACCTTGGTTTAATTTGCTTATGCTATCTATCTTACACTATTGGCTGGCTTCATGCTATTATAGACATGCTAAACAATACAATTCCGATGTTTGACATCTGCATCTTAGTTGAACCTTCTAAAAAATACAATCCGGCTGCTGCACTAATTATTAGGGACTCAATAAGATTGATTTATAATTTATCTTTCAGCCAATTCTCAAATGCAACCTGATTGTTCATTATTCAGTCTTCACTAGTTACATCCTAAAACTGTGAGTGCTAAATAGACATCTTTGAAGGGCTACGCCTGCATGATTATTTATTGTGGACACTGAAAATCTTATATGTTCTATATGGTCAAAGAATCCAATCTTTGATTTCAAATATGTAAGCCAGTATTTTGAAAACAATTGGCTTCATGATTATGATTTACTTGTGCTTAGTGTGATAGCATCATCTGTAAGTCTAGTAAAATATTTGATGAGTTCTGCTCTTCGAATAGTTTATTTGTATCATGTCTAAACTGGCATGATCCATATCTTCAAGTTCGGCAGATATGACTTATGATGATCTAGTCTACTTTTTCTTGTATAGATTCCTTAAAGCTAATTTAGATATTGTTTATTCTTCTTTCTGATTGCACAGATTTGCAACTGATGCTGGGTATTGATGTACGATGTGCAGGATAATTATCTCTTCTTAATGTTTTCCCTACATAAAGAATATTCTTGGAAAATCAGTTGCATCTTTGAGTTTACGTAATTCCGTCTGGTTTCGTAATGACAGTATTGTTGAAGAAAATGCTTGGTTTGCCCGTCTATTCCTCTTTCTTGGAGCTGACTGCTTCATTGATGTCAAAGTTACACTTTTGCTTAAAAGCATTAGCTGTTAAGTTCCTGCCCAGTAGTATAGCATGCTCCTTTAAATATGATTTGAGAACATGGATTATGTTCAGCTCCATAGTAACTTCAGATCAAATATTCAAAATTTATATGGTGTATCCGTTCATGTCTGAAACCTTTCCTTCGTAAACAAAGGTTTGAAGTTTCTTCTATGTTGGGGCACATAATTGAGACGTGACTTTACCTATATGATCTTCCTAGCGTTTTAATTTTTGGGTCACAGGTTTGTGCAATTTAAAGTGATTATCTGTCAATTCTCTGCTTTGTCTTACCCTTCCTATTATGCATATCTATTTGCAGGTTAACAAACAAACTGCCTTTTTTTAATCAAAATTTCCTTTGGATGTTTTCCATCACCTTTACATGTTGCCTGATTTTCTTGTTTAGGTCTAGAGAAAATGGTCAAAGTTCCTATGATACAGTTGCTTCTGTAGTAAATGGGGTTTCAAGATTAAATGTGGATGAGAATGATGCTCCAGAAGCAGATTCATTCTCTAGGGAAGCTGTTGCCACTGTACTTGAGTGCAAGTGTGGAATGCCATTATGCATTTGTAAACCTCCAATGCCAGATCCTGCTCCCTCACAGGTAGATGATTATATTGATGTTGTCTTGATGATGGACCTTGTTGTCTGAATTTCTTCTTTACTTGCAGAATAGCTTAGTTTCTAGTAGTCATTCCAGTCAAAGACCGAAGAAGACCTCATCAAACCAGAGAACAGTGGAGTCCATCTCGAGGAAGCCCTCTTCTTCATCATCATCTTCTTCTTCTTCAAACAAGCCAAGGTTATTAAAAAAAATAATTAAAAAAAAAAAAACAAGCCAAGTTTATTATATATTCAGAAAATCGGCATTGCTTATGTGTATTTACTAATCTTTTTAGCTAGTTTACATGTGCTCCCTCAAAAGTAAAAAAACATTAGCTTGCAGTTTCCTTGCTAAGTACTAGTTTACTTTTTATTTTTATAGTTATTTAGAACCTTAGCACCGATATCCTCGCTTGGGTTTAACTTATCTTTTCTGTAGTGTCTTGTTTGAGAACTGTCTCCTCTACCTGTTGAATGAAGTTTTAGTCTTCTTTCCATTTTCCTTTAATTGCTATACTTGCGTTAAATTCATCCCATCTATGCTGCTGCTATGCATATCAAATAATGTATGTTTTACCAATAGTTTTCTGAATGTTAAAATGTTTTGAAGCCCATTTTCTGTAAATTGATAATTGCAGTTCATTTTTAAATATGGGTCAAGCGAGCAATGGTAATGCTGACAAGCCTAAGGCAGATTATGATGTTAACGGAGAGGTAGGAATACCTTGAGAAGAAGCAAATTGGCTGCTATCGAGTTTTTACCATGGAAATGAGAATTTCCATTGAGTGACATGTTTCCAATGTGTAGGGTTTAAGAGAAGCCATCAAGAATAGTGACCCTGCTGGTGTCAGAAAGCTTCTGAGTGAGGTATCCGTGTTATTATCTTCTGATTTGATGCTTAATTCCCCAACAATGAAAAAGGAGCGTACTTTTTGGGCCTTGTTTATTCCATTTAGTGCCATATTTCTTAACCTTTAAACAGGGCGTGGATGCCAACTACTGTGACAAGCAAGGATTGACTCCACTTCACCTGGTATGTCCTTAAAATTCATTTCTTGAGGCGATATTAGATTTTTTCATGAAAGTTTATCTCCTGTCAAGAGGGTTTCTTTTTAATTGAAGTTGTAAGCAGTTTAAGCTATAGGTCTTGCATCTGATTTCTATGATAGGTCCCATATTTTCTTGCTTTGTGTGTCATTATAATTGATTTTGAAGTAGATGAGCTGACCAAACCAATATAAATTGAAGTAATGCTGTTTACAAAAGATTTGTGCATATAATATACTACCTTTAGTAGCTTTCAACAAAAACAAATAGAGAATGATGATTCATAAAGCCATCCCAAAAGTAGTTCGGATAAGATCATGACATATTGGCTTTGGGTTTAGGAAGGTTGGCAATATTAGTTTGTTTTTGAGGAAATAATAAAACTTTTTTACTCTTCTAACACCCCCATAAGGAAATATTTCTGGAAAAAGTGTTTATTTTTAAGAAGCTGACATCAATGGATACAAATATTTTTCTTTTATTAGAGGAATAACATTTATATCGTTTTTGTTTATCCTAGACCATAGAAAGATACACTTAGAGGCTTTGATATCTAAGTTTATTTTGATATAAGCTTATTTTAAGCGGGTACACGATTTTATATAAACATAATGTACCCAAAGCCTTTGAGTGGAAGATTAGAAATGGTACAAGTATTAGAAAAGCATTTTGAAAGTAGACTGATTGGAATTTTGAACTGAAGTATATTTGTTGGTAGCTAATTGATAATAGGTAATGGAAATAACATTGCCCTAATAATAATTTGGGATATTAGTGGTTAATACAATAGATCTAATCAACTGTAAGAGATATTATTCTTTCGTTCAATAATATAAGTTTGTTGAGAAGTGTTGGGAAAAGAACTTTGATGGATGACATCCTTTTGATTTATGAAACTTTCTAGAATGCCTTAAAAATAAGTTGTATATCTATCTTTGTTAAAAATTTGAATTTCAGTGGAGCAATGGATTTGAATTGTATTGTGAAATTTTTTTAAAGATAGTAAAACTCAAATTGATTATTTTCTTATAAGAAAAATATATTGTTTAGATTGCAAAGATTATAAAAGTATTTCAAATGAAAGTTTATATACCCATTATTGCTTATTAGTTTTGGACTATAAGATCAAGGGAAATAATATGAAAAATAAAGTAAAATATGGTTTTAGGATTAGATGGGGGCATTTAAATAGCACGAATAAAAATATTTTTGAGAGTAAGATTCAAAATCATAAAATTTTGTCGGTGCATGAGAAAGTTAATGTTATATAGGAAAAGTAGCTAGTGGTAGTAAGAATGTTACAAATAATAAGATTGGAGTATTAAAAAGAAAAACCTCTAATAGTTATTGGTAGTAGAATTAAAACCTATAAGAAAAGATAAAAAATAAGAAGCTTTATAATAAAAATTGATTTAGATGTAAAAACTCAAAAAATTAGAAAAGATATAAAGATACTTATAAGTAGTCTAAGAAAGCAATATGTGATACAAAGAATTTAGCTTTTAATGATTTATATAATAGATTAGGTACTAAGGGGGGTAAAAGATATATGTATAAGTTAGCCAAACAGAGAGGTAGGAGAAGTAAGGATTTAGTTCAAGTGAAGTATATTAAGGATGAAGCTAAAAATATATTTTTATTAGAAGAGGATATTCAAAAATGGTGGATGAGATATTTTGATTAGCTTTTCAATGAAGATTGTGAGAATACAATTGATTTTAGTTACTTTAGGACTCTAAATGAAAATAAAGATTTTTATTTTTATCAGTGTATTAGTGAAACTGAAGTTAGAGATGGTTTAAAGAAAATGAAGCGTGAAAAAGCTGTTGGACCTAATGATATTCTAATAGAGGTGTGAAAATGCTTAGGAGATGAAGGAATTTCTTGGCTTAAAAAAAAATTGTTCAACATTATTTTAAAGAATAAAAAGATGTAGATGAGTGAAGAAGTAGTGCGTTGATTCTTATTTTTAAGAATAAAAATGATGCACAAGAGTCTGTGAATTATAGAGGAATTAAATTGATGTGTCATACTTTAAAATTATGGGAGAGAGTTATTTAGCATAGGTTATGAAGTGATATTAATGTTTCTCAAAATCAATTTGGATTTATGTCGGGTAGGTCTAATATGGAAGCTATACATTTATTAAGATGTTTGATGGACAAGTATAGAGAGAATAAGGATACATATGATATTTATTAATTTAGAGAAAGCTCATGATAAAGTTCCAAGAAAAGTGCTCTGGAGAGCTTTAGAAAATTAAGAGATTAATAATACTTATGTTCAGGTCATTAATGATATATATATATATATATATATATATGCAGGAGTTATTACTTGTGTTCAAACACAAGATGGTTTGACAAAGTATTTTCCTATTTCGATTGGATTACATAAAGGATCAGCTTGAAGCCCATATCTTTTTTATTTAGTTATGGATATTCTTACTAGGCATTTACAAGAGGATGTATCATGTTGTATGCTTTTTGTTGAATATATTCTTCTTGTTGATAAGACTAGAGAGGGAGTTGAAAGTAAACTTGAATTATAGAGGTTAACCTTAGAGTCTAAAGATTTTTGTTTGAGTAGATCGAAAACTGAATGCATGGAGTGTAATTTTGGTAGTAATAGATCTAGTGGAGAAATTGTGACTTTGGGCGATCAAGTCATTAATAAGAGTACACGTTTTAGATATATCAGGTCTATTTTTCAAAGTGATTGTGAAATAGATGGGGATATTATTACTAGAATTAAAGCTGGATGGTTGAAGTGGAGAAATCCATCGGGCCTGTTTTGTGATAGAAAATTACCCCTCAAACTTTTAAGAGAAAATTCTATAAGATTGTAGTGAGACCTACAATGCTTTATGACACAAACTGTTGGCCATTAAAAGAAAAGCATAAAATTAAGTTAAGTGTTGTAGAGATGAGGATGATCTTGTGGATGAGTGGCTTCACTCTTAGGAACATAATGCAAAATGAGCATATAAGTGAAAAAGCTGGAGTAACTCCAGTGCAGATAATATTAGAGAGAGTTGCCTTAGATGGTTTGGTCACATAAAATGCTTGCCTTTCGATGACCTGGTTAGGAGAGTAGATGTATTAGATTTGACCTATATTAAAAAATATAGAGGCATACCTAAAAAGACTTGGTTAGAAAATATTAGATATGAATTTTTTATTAAATTTAAATGAGACTTTGGCTTAGCAGGACATAATGGAGAAAAAATGATTCATGTAGCCGACCCCATATAGTGGGATAAAGGTTTGATGTTGTTATAAAATTTTTTGAAAGTTTGTTCAGCATTTGATTTATTCTTTAATAAGTTTAGCCAGCACACGTGAGTGTGATTATCAATAAAATATTGAAGCATAATTTGGGGTTAAGGTTTTGATATGTGGATGGACTTTAGATATTACTATACACAAATGAAGAAGTTTGGCGGCTTTATATAATTTAGTTTTATAGTTAGATCTTTGGTGTTTGACAAGTTGATAAATTTTACATGGAAAAATATTTTTATTTTATAAAAAAAAGAAAATTAGTTTTTAAGGTGAGGAAAACTAGGGTGACTTAGCCTATAATGCCATAACATAATTTGATCTCCTATTTCAAGAGCATAAAATTCTTTGTTGATAGCAAATATATGATTACTCTCTTTGAAACTTCCATCAAGGTAACACAATTGACTCACTAGCACTACCAATCATATTTTGCGATCTCTGGCATTGAGATTCATAAGATTTTGATAATAATATAATTTTACAGCTGCAATCTTTAGATTTCTTGGTAATAGATGTTGACCTCTAACCATTAGCCCGACCCCACAAATGATCCACGTTTGTCAAATGACACATTCGATCGTTCCTTAACCGCAAGCAAAACAAATGCAGGGGGATATGTACATTCGAACTCTCACAGACGGAAGACACGAACCCGCTCATTCTCTCGATTCCGCACGTAGAGACGCCTGACCCCTCTCATCCTCTCGATCCCGTACGCAGGAAACACAGAAGCATAGTCCTCAGTTGTTCCCATCTCCACCCACCAGCCAGGACCTTTGCCCGCTTCTTCTAATCTTACCCTCTCTCGATCGTTCGATCTTGCTGATTCCCTCCTGGCTGCATATGATCCACCCGACTTCGCCCTAGCCTCCTACGACCCTATCAAACCCGCCTTCCGCCCACCTCTACCCTCTTAGCCGCCTAATTCCCAGCCCATTTGCACGATCCTGCGACCCAACCTCCCTCCTACACTCTCTGGACCATCTCCTACACAACCCGAGTCGATCAAGCCTGATGCCATACCTAATCAACCTGATCCTAGCCTGAAATGACCTAGACCAACCCGGACCTCAACCGTTCGATTGACCCGATCAGCCTCGCATTCCAGCCCGATCCTCGCCGATCTTAGGCCACCCATGCTCAATCTAGTTTGATCCGATCCGATCAGCCCAATCTGACCCGATTAGTTCTGCAAGCCGACCTGTTCAATCCAGTTGAATCGAGCTTTCTCTCTCGCTCAATTTTGATCTAATCGACGTATATAAAATAATAATAATAATACCCCCCAATAACTAATTTCAAACAAAAGTATGTCTTTTTTTTTTAAATAATAGAGTTCTTATATATGATTTAAAGATCAAAATCGGTATCAGTGGCCCTTGAAGAGTAATATAGCCAAATTGCTCTCGCCTCTCTCAAATCATGAATGTAGTAATTACATAGGCAAACCATATACACAAATCACCTGCTGGACAACTTAATCAAAACACTTATGGATTTATAATTTATGGATATATCACTTAATGAAAAGTCCTGACAGATGATACTGTATATAATGATGAATTTTGAAAAAGCTTATATTAATTCAAATCAATGTATTGTATATTTCAAATTCAAAGGGATATCTGATAGTGAGCACCTTTCCTTAAGAAATGCATAGATCGATCAATATGAAGAGATTTATGCTGATTTAAAGATTGAT